CCCCCCCACCTGTTCATGAATTTAAAACGCAGACATATTATAGAAACATGTGACAGCTGGACATAAAGACCCAGCTGTAGACAGTGGTTCCAGTCTAATGGCTGTAAAAATGAATGACTTCCTCTTCTAACCTGGAGCAGCAGGGATAAGCTCCACAGGATGATTAGTATGTAATAGAGGGGGAAACCACAGTTCATGAATGCATCCTCTTCCAGGTGCCACATGGAAATATTTTCTTTTCTTGTCATCATGACAATGAAACATATAAACATGCAGAATGCCTTCAACCTTGACTGTCATCATTTCATACTGCTTCATACTATAGCCTGTGTAAATATTGTGTGCATACAGGGTATGGTTGTGGTTGTACTTACAGAAGTGCTCAAGGGAGCTCACAATAAACCAAGTCATTATTTCTGTAGGTAAGTTATTTATAAATAGGGTCTCATTTTGTCTTTACCTTTAGCTCTTGATATACAGTGCATTCATTTCAACTTTGAGTATGAGTGTGTGGTTATTTTAAAAGACCAATCGGTTTAAATATGAAGTTGGGTGTTATGTCACTTTCCTTTGCCCTGTTAAAATGTTAGAGGAGTTTGTTATATTTCATCTTACCTCTATAAATAGCAGGTTTAAACATATTCAGAATTGTTTCATTTGTATAACAGTTCAGTCTATTTTTCTCACCACTAAAAGCAGAAGATGTCAATAGTGTTGACCCATTTTACTTTTTTCCATACATTCCTTCCTGCCATCCACAAAAAGATACAAAATCCACCTGTTCCAGGCAGGATATCTGGGCTGTATGTTGGGCCAACAATGATGTCTTGATAACCAATACATGCTGAGCCCCTTTCTGCTCTTCAGGGATGAAAAGAAGTCCAATTACCTTGAACTAAAATAAAATATAGGATCAGTAGCAGCGGAGGATTAAATAATATTATGATCCAATCTAAGGCAATGTTCCAGTAACAAAGCAGAGAGTAATGGAAAAATCTAAGCGCTCAATGTTTGGACTCTCCGACATTACTCATCTGGCCTATTGAATGGAGTCTTATCTCGTCATGACAACAGCATACAGAGATTGAGAGTAATTGCCATGGCAACAGGTCACCTTGGAATAGTAGCTTATCTTTCCTTAAACTTGCTTCAGCCGAGCGCTGACGGAAGTTTAAAGATACGTCCTCACTGCTGCTCTGTCAGGTTCAACAAGCCTGACAGAAATCTTGTTAAAAGTTCAAAAGATTTCAAGTAAAAGAATAACACTTTCACCACTTGGTGCAATCTCTTTTTTCTGTCAGTCGCCAGCTGACATGTGAACCAAACCCCAGAAGCATATTCCTCCAGGATGCTGCAGGAGATGACTGACCTCCATATGACGAGACTGGAGAAGAGGGCTTTGATCATCATCCAGACCATCATTTTCAAGTACTGTGCCACTTTATGATTTATTTTCCATCTCTTCAATCCAAGAAGATCCATACCCCTCACAACTGTGTGGTAAATAAAAAGCTGCAGACAAAAGATCGTTAGGGTTAGCTTAGCTTATCATAAAGACTGGAAATAAGGGGGAAACAGTTCGGCTCGCTCTGCCTAAAATTCACCTTCTAGCACATTAACAGTGTATCAAGTGTGTTTAATACAAAAGTCCCACACAAAGACTTCAATCTGTTAACTGGCTGTAGCTTCAAAATTACAACACAGACATTGGAGTGGTAACAATTGTTCCCATCTAAAAAGTAAATACATGTTTTTCCCAAAGCGTCGGGCGGTTGCTTTAAGACTCTGAGTTTTCATAAAGTAATATTTATCTCTACAAAGTAGATATAGACCAAAAGATAAAGGCTCCACAAAGAAGAGGCACATGTGCATGTTCATCCAAAAAGGCTCTTTAATTGGTCTAAGTGGTTCATTACAGGGTGAGGGAGCTAGGTAATATAGATACTAGAATAGCTTTCATTACCTCATTCAAATCTGATCATTTAAAAGTAAGAGGGGTTGGGGAAAACAGGGATGACAGGGGAATATAAAAGAGTGGAAATGAGAAAAAGATGAAAATCGTAATATAGGCCAACTGATAGAGTTAATACAGTGATGACAAATATTAAAGTAAATCGGCAATAACCTTACAAAAATTAAAATTGTGCTAAAATGTGATTAGAAATGTTTAAAGAGTGACAATAAATTCCTATCATATGTAGAATACATGAATATGACACTAACCAGTCTCAAATAAGACTTCTCTATATTGATATATTATTTAAATGATTTATTCTTATTGTGAGGCCCTTTGTGATGTTGTGCTGTACTGCAGCCTCCTACTGAAATTCAGTGAGGAACACAAATGGTTTAACACACCAAGTGCTGCTCAGTGCTTTCCCAATACCTTCATCATTTTACAGATTGTGTTCATATGGACTGCTTCGACAAAGTCACTGCTACCTGTCATTATTCCCTATATATGACGACTTGAAGAAGGGTTTAGCTCCATAATATTATACATATTTTAAGAAGTCACCTGAAATGTTAACAGATGTCTCAAAAATAAATGAATTCTAGAAAACTACGGTTGTCCCTTGTCTTGGTCAAGTTTGTGTTTCCTTAATGTGTTATTTTGGAATTAAACTCTTCACATGTTCATCTTCACAATGTTTTGCTACAGTGGCTGCTTGTTTTTGGTGGCGGTATTCATAATCACAATCCCTTGTTCCCTTCACTATTTCACCCTTGTTGTAAGAGGTTAATCTACTTAACAACAACCAAGACTGAATCCCAACCACCCACAATAAAATATGTACAACATACACATGGCATGAAAACTCTGGTTATAGATTAACCATGCGCCAACACCCTGGACTGTTGTAAATCTTAGTGCACATTGAAGCACAGAAAACACAAGCATTGTAGGAAAGTAGCAAGTACGTAAAACCTGCCCACCCACAGCTTTACACAACTGTCTCAAGGTTAAATCGGTACTGTGCAGTTTTCTTATCTTATTGTAGTACAGTATACATCAAAAAAGTCCTAAACATCTATAAAATCTGCTGACCCAAACTTCTATTCTTTACCACACAAAGTCACGTAAAAAATCAACAATTACTTCAAGTTATAACTTTTCCACTTTTCATATATCTTAGCACTTCCCCCTCTCAACAGTGGCCATCTTTAAGAGTCCTGTTCTCTGATATTCCACAGTATCTATCTTCTAAGGTTCTTTTGGTTTCCCATTAGACCTCAGACTCAAGACTGGAAACCCGCCGCCAGGGACGAAGTACGCAGGGGCTCCCCGCAGGCTGACCCCCTGCAGGCTGACCCCCTGCAGGCTGACCCCCTGCAGGCTGACCCCCTGCAGACTGACCCCCTGCTCGCTGACTTGCTAGGGCCTCTGATCCAGTCTGGGATCCCTGATAGATGCCATAGGCTCCGTATAGACTGTCCTGGTACAGCAGAGCTCGCTGGCTTCCACATCTCCCACCACCACAAGCCAGCAGCTGGCATACTGGACTGCTGGAGGCCTGCCTGTGGTGCTGCAGGTCTAGGGGGCCGTGGTAGAGCGGTAGTCCAGGATAAGAGTTCAGGTAGTGGGCATATTGTCTGCTAAGCAAGCTGGTGGCTCTGCGTACCATCCCCCGCCCTAAACCACTGCCATGTTGCACTGCCTCTCCGTATGTCGGGAGGTGGGCGGAGTGGGAGTAGCGCATTCTCTGGCCTTTACGCCCATTAGGCCTCCTATGGTCCTCTCTTATGTGGAGGTAGGCCTGGTTCCGTGGGAGGCACAGGTTGTTTCGAAGTTGGGCAGGGTTGTAGGGCTTTGCAGGTGCGGTCTGAGTAAGCATGCATGGGAACAGGTCCGGCAGGGCAGATTGTGATTGGCTGGACAGGGATGACAGGGATTCCTCCATCTGACGTATCTGCTCGCTGCCCCACGTTGCTTTAAGGAATGACGGGCGGCGGTGCCTTCGTCTACCTCTGAGCAACATGTCCTCCGGGGGCCAGGAGCCGTAGTTCTCTACCCGCGGACACTTCACCTCCTCTGAGTACATGTAGTCAACGCTGGGGGCGGAGATGTGGTTTTCTTGGAGGTGGTTGGCTTTGAGCTCACTCAGATAGACGGGGCTTATGTTGCTCTTTTCCTGGTCCCTGTGTTTTCTCCCTTCTACATTCCCATCCTCACACTGGAAACTTTTAGATCTTCTTTTCCGTCTGGAGAAGCCCTCATGGACTTGCTGGTTTTGATGCGGGGAGACCGGGTGAGATGCGTAGATGTCAGGTAGTTGGAGATCATTGTAGGGGATGAAGGGTGAGTGAGGATGGGGGTCTACATAGAGTCTACCTGTGGTCTGGTAGTGGTGAGGGTGTTGATGAGGGAGTGGTTCACCCATAGCCAGATGGGGGCTACTGAGGCTGGACACAGGAAGTGGCCGGTCATACAGACATGAAGAAGAGCGAGTTGGGAGCGTGTAGCGTAGTGGTGTTGGCCTGGTCACACCCCTCTGGAGTTTCAGAGAGGTAACAGCGGTCAAAGGTGGGGTTAGTGGGCAGTGATTCTCCGTAATATAGGCAAATCCTCCTGGTACAGTCTCCGTGGCCACTTGTGGAATACGAACAGGCAAGCTGCCGCCATGACGACTCAAATGCTCTATGGTCTTGGTGGCGTGGTCCAGAGACGTCTCAACATTGGCAGTGGAGACCAGGTCCTTGGCAGTGCGAAGCATCTTAAGCATGTTTTGTTGAGCGTAGTTGGAGGTTAGGTCAGGTTTGGCCAAACCAGATGAACGCCCAGGTTCCTCTACTCCCTTGAAACAACTATAAATACCCTGAGAGACGAAACAGAATGATAAAGAAAGAAAGAGGATGGAACAAGAGGTGGAAAACAGACAAGAGAAAAAGAAGTAGAGTATAAATCCCCTTGTTATTTGGAATTAAATCAATAGTTAGCTACAAACAGTTTAACCTTGAATCAACCTAGCACTCCTTAGGGGACAATTTCACAGAAGAAATTTCAACCAATTTGTGCGTTTCAAAGTTACGTTCCACCTCCTAACTAATAAAAACCCCAGTAGCAGTTTAATAAAAAACTGATTTCATTAATATCTCATTTCATCACTGAGGCACTTAGTCACAAATGTATTATGCATTCTCCCGGGAGTCAAAGAAAAACTGTTTAAGCTGAGGGGATTGCTACACACACACACACACGCACACACACGCACACACACACACACACACATCCAAATCCCATGACTGCTCTCTGCTTACAGTTGGCTGGGAGATCCTGAAAGAGACACATTTAATTTGGCCCTTGGGGCCACCCCGCACGGATTAATGATCAGATAGTCATTTGGCCGTTAATCTGATAAATCCCCGATCCAGGCACAATAGTGTAATTACACAGTAAGGGAGCACAGAGGCTGGTGTCCGTAGACATTTCCCTGGCTGCATCTTCAGCCGGAGCTTTTTATGCCTCAATGGCCACAGTCCCAAACAACGGTATCAACAAACCAGGCACTGATTAAGGCTAATTGCAAATTAACATTGAGCAATTTGAGTTAAATGCTAAGAGTAAACACCAGAATTAGTGCTTATTTTCTTTACCATTTATCTCTACTCTCCCCTCTTATTTTTAATAACGATGCAGTGATATGTTAGCTAATATTTTAACAAGGCCTGCTAATGATACAATGTAATGACATGCAAATACACATACATTTTCACTTATTCATCATCACATAAAATCCACTTAATTTAAAATAACATATCACTGCAAACAAGCAAGCAACCACTTAACAGTAAAAAATAATCAACCAGCCAATCTTTCAATCACTCAACAGAGCTGTTACTTAACCAATCCAATTTCAGCCAGCCAATACGCTTTTCACAAACTAAATAACCACTTTAGGAATCAGTAAACACTCAGTCATTTCTCCCCATGACCAAGCACTCAAAATCAAACCAACCGGTACTCCATAAGACCACAAGCTACCCAAGTGAGAAAACTAAATCTTATCAATCAAATGACTTATTTGCATATCTCACCCTACTGATGGCCAACATGTAGTCAAGTTTGCGAGACTTGCGGAGGGAGTGTCTCAGTTTCCAGTAGAGCAAGTGTTCCCAGGCAAAGACCAGCATGCTGAGGCCCATGGCCACGAGCAGCATGTAGAAGACTCCCGCCATGTTGTCAATGTCCAGCTTGCTGCTCATCACTTCGTTCTTCTCGTTCTGACAGATGCCCGACAACCACACCGTCTCCAAGCGCTGCGTGTCTCCTGGAGGGAAGTAGGTTTATAAGAGTAGAGGGGGGAGAAAAAAAAGTATATGAGATGACTGGTCAGAGTAATAAGGAGTAAGATATATGATAGCTTACAATCAAGATGAATATCGTGAAGATCATGGGTAATATTGGGTATTATTTAATATCGGGGGCTAAAATCCTTGTAGTGGCTTGAGTGGCAGCCATCTTCTTATTTTCTTTTTCTATTTTTTTTTCTGTGTTGATCCAACCCTGGTATCCCCCATGTCAACATCCAAGTCATAAGTATGACTTAGAAACACAGAAAATATCCAAAAATATGCACATGGGCCCATAAAATCAAAGCAAAATCAAGGCTTCATGTCAGCCAAAGTCAAGGAAATTAAAAGCTAATGTAATAGGGAAAACTGATGTATCGACCTTGTACAGTGTTTTTTCTTTCAAACTAAATCATTCATACAACAGTATTCAATTGTCTGATGATAGGAACGCTTTTCACTACCTTCCATGAGGTCAGGTGACAAAATTGGCGGGACTTGGCAGATAAGACACATTCAGTTCTGCTCTTTTTCCTGCTCCATTGTCAGAACACTGCGGAACTTCAACACACAAACTGCACAAAATGAGCTAAAAGTCAGTACTCCAACATTATCAACCTGACTGATCCATATTCTGCCATTTGGGGAATTGTGTATAAAATGATTGCAAAAACATATATAATTTGTACTTGAAAAGGGTCTTTCTGGCTGCACACTACAATGAAGTGTAGAGGAATCCCAACACACAAACAAAGCACATTTTAAATGAGAATAATTTACAGCACTTGAACACCATTTCCTCAAGCTTTCATTGCCCCATAAGCTATTCCTCCAGCCCTCTGAACAGGTGGCCACCTCTTGAGCTGCGTTCTCCACAGCGGCCTTCAGGGAGCAAGGCCTATTTTCCCTCTCAGTCAGCATATGGTGATAACAAAGACACTTTTTCTTAAATCATCCCTGAAAGCTCAGCAAGAGTGTGTGGGGTGCTCGTAAGCTCCCAGAGGAGCGGAGGATATTAATTCCACCCTCATGGTGAGCGTGTTTGTGTATATATAGGTAGGAAGCAAACTAGTGTGTGTGTGTGTGTGTGTGTAATGGAGATAATCGTATCTCTAACACTCCCTGCTGTTCTCCAGGATATTAACTCTTCCCTGTAAGCCCACTTCCCTGCTGACACAGCAAACGCTGAACTGGACTGAAGCCAGTTCAACAGATCACATACAGAGTGTCAGCCAGAGAAGAACAACACAAACAGATAAAATACTGCAAAGTGTACAGTGCGAGAGTGTCTTCAGTCAAGGATTGTGTGTTATATATTGTAAGGTATGGATCACCGTCTCCAAGGAACTGCAGCAGAGCCAGGTCAATAAGACGCTTCCAGCGGGAGTTCTTCTGCAGAGCGATGCCGTATCCTGTGGTGGCAAATACTTTCCCGCTGCCGATGGTCACCAGCTTGCAGCCCTCGTCCTTCCCGGCCATATAGTTCAAAACGGCAGCGTCGTAGATGAAAGCGTCCAGTTTCCTGCATCACAATAAAGCGTCTTTATCTGAGAAAAGGTTTAGCTCCTAAAAAGTGTAATAGTGTCTTACACACATGTTAGATTTGTATGTCTGTCCTAAAGAAGTCTTCAGTATTAGTGGATTTATACTCAAACCATTCAATACAAATGGTGTATACCTATGCTCTGGGGACCATGCATGTGAGAGGTTTTACTGAGTGTACAAAATGTTTAATGCTCAATATGGTTAAAATAACTTCAAATGTTTTCAACTGGTTATAAGTGAAGATTTAAAGTTTGACAGCTCTTTTTTATACAAAGTAAACTGCACTAGGCTTGATTTTTTTTAATCTAAAAATACACCCATCAAATCGGCCTGTTCACAAATAAATGCTACATCACAAAGGATCAAATCTCTGTTGCGTCACCCAAATGATTATCATAATGACTTGTGATATGCGTCTCAGATCTTCCCTAGCAGGAGGGTCATTTAAAAATAGCCTCTTATCTTAATTGTGTAACAAAGTTAAAAAGTAAGTAAGACTGTACCCAGTCTTCAGGCTTTCTAGAGCTTCTTCCACCCCCTTCTGGTTGTATTTCATCATGTGCATGTGCATGTCGGGGTAGTTGCTGCGGATGTTCCTCTCTGTGCTCCCGTTCGGGACCGTCCCAAAGCGAAAAGGAGGATAATGCTCATGTGGTTTCTGGAACTGTAGGAAGACACGGGATGAGAGGAAAGGAAAGGGGGGAGAAGATATGAGAGATGAGGAGAAGGAGACACGAAAATAGAGGGAAGTAAGAGAAGAAGTTTGGTAGGGACAAGGGGGAGAGAGACAGAAGGGAGTGAGGATAAAATGAAAGGAGAGGAGAGAGACTGAAGGCAGCGATAGCAGAATAGGGGAAGATGGGGGCAAGAAGAAGATGACACAAAAGAAGGCAGAACAAGAGGAAAAGGGGAGGAAACAGAGGAGAAGAAGGACAGAGGGTAGGGATAATGAAAGAGTCAGAGAGCAAAGAACGAAAGACCAAAAAGGATAAGAGGGAGAAAAAGGAGAAAGGAAAGGAAAGTAGAAGAGGAGAAGTGTGAACGGGAGAAAAAGATGAGATGAGTGGAAGAAAAAGGAAAAAAGAAAAGAAGAAAGGAAAGTAAAGAGGAAAGGTAATCAGAAGAGATGAGAAAATATAATGAAGGCAATGAGAAGACGATAAATGAATAAAGGAAAGAAGAAGAGGAAATGAGGAGGAAAGGGGAAAGAAAATGGAGAAAATACGCATAAAAAGGAAAACAAAGAAGAAAGCAAAACACAGACGAGCAAAAACGGGACCGGAATGAAGAAATGGTTTGGAGAGGAGTAAAGAGGACGAGGGACTACTCAGTTAAATGAAATCCATTTTAGAGTCATTCCAATTTGTTTCCATGGGTGATTTAATCAGCAGCCAAACTCAATGCTGTTTGAATGGCCTGTACACCGCTCAGCTCACCTCCGTTTGATTACATCTGATCAGTACACACATCTGTTAGAATTATTTTACTGCCAACAGATGATCCAGCTCAATCTGTACCCGATTGAAGCTGCATTTCACAAGCTGACGTATGAATGCAGGATGAAGCACAAATACGTCTGTTAGAGCTCAATTAGACTGTAAACAGGAAAGATCTATTCATCTTGTATGCGGCGTTGAGCTTTTGAGCCGTGCGAAAATGAATGGGCCAATCAGAACTGTGAGTTTGTGAGTGGGTGTGTGCATGTGAGTTATATAATCACTCTTCAGCTGCAACTCTAATGGATTTAGTTGAGATTCTATACATCTTTTAGTTTTTTGATAATTAGCTGTCCTAACAAAAGCAATTAAGTCAGATGTGAGAATAGAAATTAAAGGATGAGTCCTTTTTTTTCAAATCTATCTTATTACAATACTCACTTCAAGATTTTAACAATGACAATATTATTGTAATTGTCCCCGCTCCTGGCGGGAAAGGGAATTCTTGCAAAAGGAAATTCAATGTAAGTGATGGGGGAACAAATTAAGTAGATATGTGTCAGTCTTTATTGAACATAAATACTGCGTTGTGTTGGGATCGCGCTACCACGGCTTAGCTAAAAACACTTCCTGAGTGGTCAAAAGGCAGAATTTTTAACTGCATTATCAATACATTTTTAGACAAATTATTTAAATTCTCATTTCTAAATATGTGCATGGTTAATATCGTAAATTGAAACAAAACAAAAAACACAACTATTGGTTAGGAAAAAGAGTACGGTTTGGCTTGAAAGTATGTTTTATTCATTATTTTAGTTATGGAGGCAAATCAAAAAAGTAAACCTTGACTTTTGGTTTCACACGGGGCACCAATGGAAGCCTCCAGTCCTGTGTTTTTGCATCCTTCCACCCCAAACTCCTCCCTATATTGTCTGTTTGGGTCGACTGCACTTTGAATCATAATTAATTATCTTCAGTCTATTCAGATCAGGCTCTGAGTATCCTCAGGTCCCTTATGGATTGGGTCTCTGTTTTTAAAAATATCTATTTATGCATCTAATGATTTTCCGCAGTTCTGCTTTGTAACCGGAGGTAGTCACTGGGGGGAAGCTGGAAAGTATTGAAGGTTACACACCTTGATTTTCATCTTTTCATGCCGTATATTGACTATATAGAAAATATAGAAAAACACATGCCTTTTCCTTTAAACCTGAGAAGTGAATCCAGCCAGCCCACAACCTAAACCAGCCTAATCCTCTATCGTGTAGGATCTCAAAAATAAGGGGCAGCTGAGGTTGTGTTGTGCTGGGTAATTTATATTAGTCCTTTATGCTGTAGGAAAAAAAAGCATCTGCATAAAGTTAATATAGTCAGCTAATACAACCACAGATCACTGAGGTGGCGCTGCTGATCCCTGCCGGGGTGTTGTTTTTCACTTTCTATGAAGTATGAAATGCTTTCTTTTAAAGCTCCTCTGAGGCTCCTCTTCTAGGTTTAGTGTGTGTGTGTGTGTGTGTGTGTGTGTGTGTGTGTGTGTGTGTGTGTGTGTGTGTGTGTGTGTGTGTGTGTGTGTGTGTGTGTGTGTGTGTGTGTGTTGTGTGTGTGTGTGTGTGTGTGTGTTTGTTTGTTTGTTTGTTTGTGTGTGCTCGCCACAAAATTAGAAAAAGTCCCTAGGTGTTGATTTTTCCTCTCTGTTTTTAAGCGCTTGACATTTCCCCATCTTGTTTTAACAGGGTAAGCGAGTCGGGAGATGGAGACGGCACAGGGGGAATATTGATATACGGACCGAAAGACAGACAGGACAAACGGAGACTCAGACACCATCTGTATTGACAGAAGGCAGTAATTGATTAGTCATTCATGCTACTGGGCTCCCCACTGATAGGAAAAGGACAGAGGCTTTCACAACAAAGTCCTTTTACCTGACTTCATCTTGAAGGCCTTCAGTGAGTCTTTTGTCTTTCTTCGGTTCATGGTTTATTAGTGGATGCAGAGTGATGAACAGAGAGAAAAGGAGATGATGTAGCTGGGTTCAAACACGAAGACATGGTATCTCACAGCTCCACATGCTCTCTGTATGTCTGTGAACTTTCACTGAACCGTCCCTCCTCATAATTACTGAGGTTATTATTCTAAGTATTTTTTATTCAGTCTCTTACCTTCTTGTCAGAAAGCCCAGACACTGTGTCGATATATTGCTCCTGGATCATGAAGGCAGCCAGGTTGGCAGTGTAGGAAGCCAGGAAGATGACAGCAAAGAAGGCCCAGACCAGGACCATGATCTTACTGGTCGTTCCTTTGGGGTTTTCAATGGGGACCGAGTTGTTAAAGACAATACCCCACAGCAGCCACACTGACTTCCCGATGGTGAACGTTGGGCCACCAGGAGCTAAGGGAACAGAGTGAGGAGGGAATCAGAGAGGCTGTATCTGCAAAAAAAAGGTCTTGAATATTGAGACATCTTTAGCCAACAATGAGAAAATAAGAGGCTCTGTAGAGGAATATCATAAAAAGATTGTTGATGATTCAAGTCTCAAATTAAAGTGGTTCCTCTTCAGATAAGCAACAAACACTTACAGTGCAGTATTACATTTTACATGATTGTTATAAAACGGTGTCGGAATCACTAATATTGAAACGGGAAATCGTGATCATTTTCGGGTTCATACTTGAACCTAACAGTATTTCTTGTACTGTCCATCTGTGTATGCATGTTTTTCCCCAAATATTGGTAACCTGTGTCAAAGTCAGATGTATCTTTCAATCCCGCCATCCAACCCCCTTGTTCTTGTTTTGTAGCATCATCACACAATTTAATTCCTACTTCCTTCTAGTGATTTTTGTCTTGATTTAGTTCGGGCTATTTCTGGTAAAAAATTGTCAATTACAATAGATATAAATGTTAAACCAAAGCTGTTTGAGTGGCTACCTTTCCTTTTGATGATTTTAGGTCACGTTTTGCTGTTACAAAAATATGTCTACTGTTCACCATGGAAGTATTCATGAGCCACCTCACACCCTTCCGAGATCTACCAAACATCGGAACAATTTCACAGTTTCAGCCTCGCTTCCATCGCTCTCTGCCACTGTTGCTCATGTGCAGAAACAGAGGGTTCCACCGCCATCAATCAGACTTCGATTAGCGCGGCGACCAATGCTAATTAAAACAAGAAAATGACCTTTCGGACCCGGATACGAGGCACACTGTCAGTGCTGCATTCAGGGATTGATTAGCCCTGTCCCCAAAATCCTGTAGGAAACTCTTAACATTGCAGGACATGCGGACAGGGCTGGATTTAGCGGCGGGCATGCATGCTTACAGTGAAGTGCTATGAAGAGGCAATTTTTTGATGTATTTTTTCCCAGGATACAGCAGACATTGAAAAATATGCCAGATTAAGAAAAATAAATACATTCATTGAAATCTATAGGATGAACTTTACTCATGTAGTGAAACAAAAGGTTAAACACTCACTTTTGGCGCTGACCAGACTGCGGTTGTATCCGACTGGACTTAAGTATTCAAACACAAAAACTGTCACAGCCACGACGGTCAAGCACATCACAAACATCATGACCCAAACTGCTGGACTGTAGGGCTCTGGAGGAGGGGGAGGAAGATGGGGGTGAAGAGGAAGAGGTGGAGAAGAAGAGAAAGAAAAAAACATGAAGGATTAAAGTAATTCTCTTTTGTACGTCCTGCTTCAAAACCTCGGCCTGTGATGGGGGTCACCATATGTGGTTGGAGGATAGCAAGATGAGAAAATGAGAAGACAGAATTACACTGTTCAGGATTTGGTGCTGAATTTTCTTGTTTGGGGTTTGGAAAAGGGATTTAGGTGTGTGTGCGGCACGTAAGGGGATTTAGTTGTAGGATACAGTTATCGCCGGGATAAAAGCTTAATGGGAAGTTTCCTGAAGCGTCTGCAGAGACAGAACTCGTTTAAGTAGGCCAACCTGGGAGAAAGTGTTGAGGCAGAAGATGGCAGCAACATTGGCTGACACTTACTGTACATCATACAACAGAAAAGTTATGATGGGATTCGACTAACTATTGGGTCTAAAGGAAGCAATCGTTTTTTTTCTCACCAAGAAAAGCAGATGGGGAAACTGTGCCATTGCTGCGGGCTACCATGACACTAATGCCCGTCTCAACAAACGGCACGGAGAAGTCGATTATTTCCGAACGCTCCTCGTTGATAGTGAGAGAGCCAATAGCCATGTCAGCTCGCCTGTAGAAAACCTGACAGAAGAAATACAAAGAAAGGAAGTCAAACACTGTGGTAAAATAGTGAGGAATTAATAAAAGTCAGTGGTCTAAAAACATGCTTTTCTTGTTTTTATTTTGCATCTGAATCAAACTATTTTGGTGACTGTATAATTCTGTAAAATATGCCTGAATGGGTTTATTTTATCACAACTTCCTTGTGTCCCGGAGGACAAGCTGCCAAGCTCTTCGTTGCTGAAATGAGAGCAAATTCTGAATTTCATGAGCAATCCTTTTTAGACGTGGAAGCCACAGTGCAGCAATGCAGTTGTCTACGGTAAGGCGTGACTCTAACAAACAGTAAGGCTGCGGCATGACTCTTATCACGACTGTCTTCTGAAATACAAAAATATTTGTCTCATCATCCGAGCATCAGAGAGAGAGAGCATGCTGCATCTCAGGAGTGTTTAGATCCAAGCTTTCTTTTCCAAAAAAGCAGGAATTATGCAGAAATGTAGCACACACACACACACACACACACACACACACACACACACACACACACACACACACACACACACACACACACACACACACACACACACACAGACTGACAAAGCGCCTGCAGGAACAGAAACACAAGCAGCAAGGCTCTCATGAGGAACACCTGTTCAGGGTGCTTCACTTTCAGATGCATCTGCGTTTGATGTGGCTCGCTGTGTGGAAGAAAAGCGTCGCTCCATATGTGCATGCAAGGCCTCACACCACTGACCAAGCCAAAGCCCATCAAAGAATTTCTCCCCGCCATGCAGTGCTGTCACTCCAGACGCTGTGCATCGTTACTGCCATCTCCAAACTGTACAGCTTTGAAATGCTTATATCACTTCATCTGTGTGACAACGGTTAATTTATCATCAACATTTCAATATAACATAACTAATGCTGTACGTAAAACACCTGACACTTTTTAACGTGAACCCTTTCCAACATCTGACCAATTCATTTTGTATTTGAATAATGTCATTCGTGGGAAAACGCACAAAAAAACGTTGATTTATTTCAGCTTTAGAGTAATGTTTTGCTTTTGTTGTGTGCTTTTGTATTTTGACTACATTTTCATAAATTCATTGCTACAGAACGTTTTTTTTAAAGATATCGTATTATTTCCTTGCTATTTAAATATATATATATATGTAGATCGTTTTATACTAAGTCCTTTTCGACCCCAGGATTCATTTGGAGTGATTCAGCTTTGAGTTTACTGCAAATATTTGGTGATAGCTATAGCATGCTAAACACCACTTACCTCTAATTTAATCGTTGCATGTCATAGCCCAAAGCTACATTTATTTGGGTTGGATCTATGGATAAACATTTTAAAGCACCTTGTAGATGAACACTAAGCGACTCAACCCAGCTGCACCAGCTGCTGCATTCAGGGATTTATCCTTCCTTAAATAGCTCAGCCCTCAGTCTTACCTCCCCAATCATGCCGTTCCAAGTACCACGGACCAGCTTGCCATGTTTTCCATTGGTGACTAAGTAGAGGTCATATGAGAACTTGATGGTGCGGGACAGTTTCTTCAGGATATCTATGCAGAAGCCCTTACAGCACAGTTTGGTGTAGGACTCCGCGTGGCCGATGTCACTGAAAGAAAGATGAGGACAAGAAGCGTCACACACAGTAAACGCAGTGATAGTTTTCAAAATATTCTGGTAAATAAAGTCCTGTCTGGCCTCTGGGACTATATTTAGCTTTCTAGACCTAAGCTGTTGTTTTGCCTCGTTCCAGAGAGTGGGTGCTAAATAGTTGTGTGCTCTCATTCTGACAGTGACTATTGTCTACAGCAGTGAAGTGAAGGGCAGGCAATGGCTGGTTCATTAGCTAAAATCAATATCTGTTAACAAGGTGTCGATGGAGACGGAGGAGACAGAGAATAGATACATACGCACACAAGCACACATAGACACAGGCAGAGGCAGTGTGACAGAGATGCATGAGTAAATGTGATGGCCTCTAATCAAAGGCCATTAAGGTGTGTAGCATGTGAGAGACACTTACTTCATCTCTGTGTCCTCGCTACTTAATGGGGTGTAGAAGAAGAGAGCAGAAAGACAGAAAACGGTGAAGAAATAATCAAATAAAAAATGACAAGACATTAAAACAGAGGACGATGAAAGTTAAAAGCATACAGATTGAATATATTGACAAAACTCCAAAGTATCAAAGTGGAGGCCTAAAACTTACAAGGGCTATTCAGTCCTTGTAAGTTATTCAACTTAGTGTGTGTGTTTGTGTGTGCGCAAGATAACCTCAGCATGTCAATTAGTTACCACAGGAGCCAAAGAGCATTTAAAAAGATCATTAATAAATCATG